ACACACTCAGTGTGAAAATTGGTTGAGATACTTGTTAAGACTTCATACTAGTTTTGCTGCCAGATCAGCCACATACACTCACCAGTGATCTCCACAACATCCTAAGCTTTATTTCTCTCAGGAGTGTCTCTGTACACAGTTAATGAGAGGTTCTATATGACAGGATAATATTAAAAGTTCTCATTCGTTTTTGCACAACAAACAGTAAATGTGAACTAATTGCAGGTAGGAACTACAGTTGTGCGTGGGGGCCTGAAGAATACACCGGAGGACTGTTCCGAGGAATCGTTCGAGCCAATCATTTGGTTTTAGGGGTTACATTATCATACCTAACTTGCATAAAACAAAGACAATCTCAATTCAAATGTCATCCGTCATGGGGCTCTAAGGTGGCACGACAGAAAAGGGGAGACTGCGAATACGAAACACGAGGACACCACAGCAATCCTAACCCAAAGTCCTAAACTGTGTCCCGAATGACATACACAATGCACTTTACTGTCTAGTGTATGAATTTTAGAAAGGTAGCATCGTCTCAAATTGAACACTAGCGGGTTTTTTTTACTAACCGGAACTACAAGCCCTTCCCAGTCAATAGCATGCGACATCAAACGCACGTAATGAGACACTGCTGGCGTTAGCAGAATACTCAGTCAAATAAAATGAACTGCACCGTGTCAAGGTAACAAAGTAAACTGAAGGAATTCATTTACCGAACTTCTCACATTCCCCCTTTTTTTTTTAATTATGAGAAATTCAAGCCAGCGTCAACGCCCGTTAGCCCCGCCCCTCTTTAGCGACATAAGCAAAGCTGGGACTGTGGAGATCATGAAGTGTACACAAAAAAAAAAAAAAAAAAAAAAAACCCCTCATTTTTAGAAAAAAAAACTTCATGTCCAGCAGAGCAACACTAAACAATCACAGGCATCTGTCAGCTCACGTATCGGAAACAGGACCGTTAACGTTCCACTCAGTCAATTTTGCTGTGGCATTTCCCCACCTCAATATTTGCTATGCAATTTGCGTGCGAGTTTTGTTTTGTTTTTTGGGTGTAAAACTACTCAAATTTGCAAAGTTGCTATTGCGCACGATAGTCTTGCGCAGTCTTTCACAGTGACGTTTGTTGGTAATCGAGACTTTTCAGCTGGACTCGTGTTCGACACACGTGAAACGAAGAGGGCTTTGTCTGAATGACGTTGTAGCCCGAATCTGCTGCCACCTTGAAAAACTACAAGCTCCTCCGAATATCGTGGAGTTCCCCTGATCTTGCTTTCATTTTTAAATCACGATATCCATGAGGCACAACCGTATGCCCCTGTGTGACGTATTATACACGGCAGAATGAAAAGAAGTGATGGTTGACCCCACACTCCTCTGAGGAAGCATGTGCTTGCTCTCTGGCTCCTAGCTGCGGTGTGACCGGGGAGAGCCGGCTGGTGGGTGGGAATTGGCAGAGAGAATGGGGAAGCGTTGCTCATCATGCTGTTGCTTGCAGATTTCAATGAAACCATGGCATCTTACAAATATACACAGAAACTGAATGGTCACTTGTTAACATGAACGCTTGGTTCACTACTCTAATGTTCTGTCCCAGAATTTCAGCCCATCCCTTTTCAAATGTATGGTGATACATAACATGCATTATACATAATGTGTGTGTGTGTGTATATATATATATATATATATATATCTCATTCATATACACACACACATGAATTAATGATATATAAGAAAATAAAACACAAATAAAATGCACTGTACATACTTAATGTGTATGTACACACTTATTTCAGTTATATTCATTTTATAGGGTTGAACATACAAAAGACCTTCACGTGTTTTTGGGATCCTCCCACTAGTAACTGTGTGTGTGTGTGTGTGTGTGTGTGTGTGTGTGTGTGTGTGTGTGTGTGTGTGTGAATATAGAAGAAATGTGACTAACTTTATGTTTTCTGTTCGTGTTGTTACTCTCAGATCATCTGGTCACAGCTGAACACGAGTGTCCCTGCTCCTATCTGAAGGTCAGCAGTGACTTATTCAGGCTTACTGCGCGGTTATTAAAGTTTCTTCAGAATAAACTCACACACACACACACACACACACACACCCTCGAGCATTACACGGCGGTGTGTTTAGATGGCGTTGGAGCGCCACATGGCCCCGTCAGATTTCCCAGACTCTTGAAGACGGCTCTGAAGTGCGCTTCCCGCGCGAGGCGTGTCGTCTCGTGAAGCTCACTCCTCATTTCGACTCACGGACGGCGGGAATAAAGCCCACAAAACACTCGTATTTCGTTTCCTTAACGTTATCCGAACACGCCGATGTTCATAAACTGAGAAGCGTCTAGTCCGGTAGAGAAGCTCTCGCTTCGGCTCCAGGTTGTCCCAGCCCGGTTAGCCTGCTAACGCTAGCTGTTTAAAAATAAATGTTCCGGACTCTAACGCGTGTCAAATAAAGCTGTGGGTTAAACCAGGGAGAGTTTAATCAATATGTCACATAAACGGGGTTAGTCTCAGTGGAGTCTGCGCGGCTCCACATCTCTCCACTGAACAGTCCTACTAAGTTCTGGCGCGAGCACGCTGCTCGGCTAGCCGTGTAGCTGCGCGAGGGTTGATTCATTGCGCTCGCGCTAACCCTGGCTAGCAGCCCTAGCACGTCTGAGCCGTCATGACGGTTAAAGCGTTAGCTCGAGGTGTTGGGTTTTAGTTTATTTTTATTTATTTTTTTGCTCTACAGGGACATGCAGCTCACATCACGTTCCTTTCTAAAAATACTCGGAGTCACTTGAGCTGTCTGCCGGACTTTCTTTATCGTCAGGCACCGGCGCGGCGCGGCCCGTTAACACTCCCGTCGCACAGCATAGGCGTGTCCTACATGCTAACATGCTAGCTCACCCAAACCCGCCAGGATTAAAACCGGCGATAACGTCTCTGCGTGGGATTTTGCAGTGATATGTATTTACGTGATGAAGCAACACATACCGCATCAGCCGGTGCGTGAAGTTAGATTCGTAACAGCTTACCTCCGCGAGCCCTAACCGTAGCTATCCTCGGATCCAGTTATGGCGATTACAGCGCGCGGTGGAGAAGTTGAGCCGCCTGCTCTTTTGCGCATGCGCAGTAAACACGCTTATTTGAACGTCGGGAAATGAAGTTTAAGGGATAGTTTGAACCTCTTGTGGTGCTTGGCTGGGGAAAAAGGAACATGTGAGAAAAAAATCTACAATTAAAAGGAGAAGAAGAAAGAATCTCCTCACACACACACACACACACACACACACACACACACACATATGCATCCTGCAAAAATACAACAATCTGAACCAAATGGCAAAATCATCACAATAGGATTGAAAGGAGTCCAGAGTACGTGCATTGGCATGAGGCTCGTCTCCAGAGTTGGTTTGTTGTAGGCAGTGTGATATCTGGCAGAATTATACGGAACATATCACGAAAAGTTATAACAGCGATGTCAGGAAGAAAGAGAGGTGAGGTGAGGTGAACGTTACACCGGAGAGGATTCAGAGGATGCGCAAAAAGTTCGGAGGCAGTTACGTTTGAAAACAGCATACCTATTATTTCTCATTCCAAAAAGTAAATGCTACCTTTTGAGGTGATTTCATGTTTTGTTTTTGTTTTTTTCCACAGTGATCTACAGGTGTGCTTGAAAGTTTGTGAACCCTTAAGAATTTTCTATATTTCTGCATAAATACGATCTAAAACCTCATCAGATTTCCTCAAAGGAGACAAAGAGAACCCAGTAACACAAATGAGACAAATATATTATACTTGGTCATTTATTTCTTGAAGAAAATGGTCCAATATTACATTTCTGTGAGTGGCAAAAGTATGTGATCCATCTGGTGTGACCCGTTTGTGCAGCAATAACTGCGACTAAACATTTCCGATGAGTGTTTAACAGTCCTGCACGGCGGCCTGGGGGGAATTTTAGACCATTCCTCAGTACAGAACAGCTTCAGCTCTGGGACGTTGGTGGGTTTCCTTACATGAACTGCTTGCTTCAGATCCTTCCACAATATTTTTATTGGCTTGAGGTCAGGACTTTGACTTGGCCATTCCAAAACATTAACTTTATTATTCTTTAACCATTCTTCGGTAGAATGATTTGTGTAATTAGGGTCGTTGTCTTGCTGCATGACCCACTTTCTCTAGAGATTCAGATCACAGACAGATGTTCTGATATTTTCCTTCAGAATTCGTTGGTATAATTCATTGTTCCATCATGCTAGCCCAGATGCATCAAAACAGGCTCAAACTATGGTACTACTTTTACCATGTTTCACAGATGGGATGAGGTTGTTGTGCTGGAATGCAGTGTTTTCCTTTCTCCAAACATAACGCTTCTCATTTAAACCAAAAACTCTATTTTGGTCTCCTCCATCCACAAAACATCTTTCTGTTAGCCTGCTGGCTTATCCACATGATCTTTAGCAAACTACAGATGGGCAGCAATGTTGTTCAGTGTCCATGAAATGAATCTCTGAAAGGGTCAGTGGAATTCATTTTTACAATTAAAGGGGTCCCTTGTTAAAAAAAAAAAAAAGATTGAGAACTCATGCCGTAGATCATGTAAATGAGCAATGCTTTAGAAAGAATTTCTACTTAAACCTCAGTGAAAAATATACAGTGTATACTTTACATACTGTATGCTAGATCTATGAGCAGTGTTATTCCTTACCACTTAAGAACACTCCGCTACACTGAACAAAACTGTCCAGTAATGTACAGGTATTTTCAATAGTGTCTTTCTAACTAGTTGGTCCCAGTCCCACGGTTGTCATTTCTTTATCAGTCCAATAATAACGGCAACTGTGTAATAAAGTTTATAATCCAAAATAAAGTTTAAATAAACACAATTTAACAGGCTACTAGTCAATGTACACAAGTACATTTAAAGTATTTTGGCAAACACTCTTATCCAGAACAACTTAGATTTGTCTCATTTGTACATCTGAGAGCTTTGCTCAGGAGCCCAACAGTGGCAGTGCGGCGGTTTGAACTCACAACCTTCTGATCAGTAGCCCAACGTCTTAACCACCAAGCTACCACTGCATGAAAATGCTTGAATATATGTGCTGAAAATCTACGTCACACAATAGTACAATTAACACTAGCTCATATTAGATACACCTGTTTTAATGTGATTACAATAGGCTATACATATGAGTGATTACTGATTACGTTTTAAAACCTCAAGTTCTACGCTACTACGTGAGCTACTGAACACGAAGCAATAATATCGTATCTCCTCACGATTTCGGTTTACTCACACCTGACATCTTTAGAAACTGATCAATGTCTTCAAACTGGAAGAGGTTTGGAAAAATAGTAAGACCTAGTTGTACTCAGACAGGGATCTTACAAGCATATATGTACACAGGGTTTTAGGAGAAAATGTGACGTTTTCATATGAGGCCAGGTAGGGAGGGGGTGTTAGGAAGATACAAAACACTTCCTCTGTAAGCCATTGATTTGTGTTATCAGTTACCAATCTAAGATTTCTTTAAAGATGCAATAGTCTGTTTTTTTTTTATTCCTTCCTTGTAAAAAAAAAAATAACCTGGACGATACGTAGAACATGCTAAAAATAATAATAATAATAATAAAAACAATGGATTAAGCTGTGGCCTTAACAAAGGTTTATTAAGTCGCTGAGAAAACCCATTTGGAAAACTGACTTCCTGTCCAGAATGCTTGTTTGTGTTTGGCTGCGCCACTTGTCAGTCATTTATAGACGCTCTATAGGCCACCGTAGATCATGGGGCGGAGCTTCATGAACACGGGCAGGAATCATTCAAATGATAGCTCAAACTCACATTATAACTCAAAATAAACTGTTAGAGACCTACTCTTGGGGAAGAAAAAAAAGATTAATTTGACCTAATACACATTTCAGTAAAATGTTGAAGAGTTGGCATTGAATGTGTTCTTTTTTTATTAGACGATTATTTTATCCAATATATTTCCTTAATTATGTTTGAATATAAGATTCCATTTACACATGTGAAATGTGTGTACATGAATCATTCCGACTGAGGCATGGGTCCTGCCCTGCTTACATTAGCTTCAGAGAGGCGCTGTAGTGCAACCTCAATGTCCAAAAGTGCTGTGTGCTCGTGCAGCTCTTTAGTTTGAAAGGCTCTACTCAAATAACAGTCCAGAGTCTCGGAGTCCAGAGTGGGATCGATTGTCTTGAAAACAGCTCTTAAATCTTTCACTCCCACTTCCCTGCAAGAATAATATTTAAGTACTAAGCTTAAATGCATTCTTCACTTAAATAATTCAAGTAATAACATGAATTAACATTCACAAAGAGCATCATGGAGTCTCACCCATTGCCTCCTAGTTGTTCCCTCAGCTGGCTGATGTACTGGCGTCTCTCGACCATAGCCTGCTTTTTAACCAGACCCAGGAAATCATTCTGCTTTCCATCTGTATCCTGACGTCAAATAAATATTAGACAGTCGCATTTTATGATGGTCAGAATAAATCATGGAGCATGTCATGAGTCATGAGAGCCATGTGAAGGGTGAGTAAGCGCAGAACCTTTCTATTTTTCTATACATACATTTAGTTTTAGAGCTCACCTCTGTGTACAGCCCCTGATAGGCAATGCTTCCTCCACTGGTCTGCAGTTCAGACTGAGCAGCCAGCACCAGTTCTTCTAGATCCTGATCTCCTTTCAGGGGGAAAGCTGTCTTTAGCGCCTCCCTGAAAGCCAGCATTAAAGATACACCTCTTCATTTATTATGTAAAGAATAAACTACGATGAGGTGTACTGTTATCGGAAAAGATCTGTGACAGGACTACCACTGCAAAGGGACAATAAGTGTTTCATAGCAAGTACACCACAGCAATTTGCCAATTATTTATTAAAAGAAAGGCATACTTTTTTTTTTTAGCTTTATAGTTACATTCAATGTTTTGGAACACCAGTGAAATGTTTCCATGAACGTTTTCTTAGAACATCTTTAAACAACCTCTCTCATTTTTCTTTTTAGAAATGAATAATAACTGAGAAAAGACAATACACGAAAACAAGGAACAAGTTTACTTCAAAACGCTGACACTAGTCCTTCCCTCTGAGGGTTTTACAGTGGAGGAAATCACAACCCACCATTATCAGAAGTGATATTTATTATTGACTTTTTATAGATACTGGTATATTTGAATGGCCACTTGAACAAACGGGCTTCATCGAAACCCCGGTAACTCAAAAACAAGTATGCCTTGGACCTTCGGTTGGTGTAACATTCAGAAACAAAAAGCTCTAATAAATAGCTAAAAAAATTATTGTGCAACATTTAAACTGAATATTTGTATTTTTGAATTATGTTCATAAAACTGTACTGATGTGGCCAATAAATGTAATTTATTTTACAGTTAAAAGGCTACAAAAGGTTTGAGAACCACTGTTACAGATGAACTCTGTAAGCAACCAAAACAAGTGCTTGTTTCTAAAGCAGCCCTCACCTGAATTGGGGTGTACTTAGCAATCCAGTCTCAGTGCTGTCACTCTGTATGAGCACCTTGAGTAGATGAGAGAGTAGATGGGTCTGCCCATGGTACACACTTTCATCCACCTGCCACATATCAACACTCAATTAAAGTTGCTCATCGTTCTATGAGTACTACAACCGTAACATTTTCATTTATTGTTCCAATTGTTAACCATCAATCGAAACTGGGAGAACGATTAAAAGCACCAACCTTGCCTTGGAGAATGTCATAGAAGAGACCAATGAAGTCATCGTCTAGGTAACACTTGATGCCATCGAGCAAGCTGTAAGCCCAGTCTCCTGCCCTCTCCTCATGCTGCTTTAACAGATACCGATGCAGAAACTCCTTTAGATCACTGCTTGCATCCATCTGTATTTGCAAAACACATAACCAGTACATACATAGATGCCTCTAGTAACTGATCATATATTTTTTATTCCCACATGCACTGAACTGATGGATGCTACCTTCTCATCTTCGGATGCTTTCTCTCTCCATATGTCCTTTAGAACTCGAACAACATCAGTCTTTTTCAACCGGAGGTTCCTCAGTTGCCCCTCATAGCGCAGGTAGATGGGAACATCACTGGAAGTACCCTGGGGTATGGGGGTTCATGAAGTTGAGTTCAACGAGCTATAAGAAGAAAATACTAAAAAAAAGTAATACAAGATGCAGGTAGTAATTTTATATGATGGGCATCTCACCAGTCCAGTAAAGAAGTGTTTCTGCTCCAAGCCCATGCTGTTGAACTCCTTCAGCAAGATCTCCAGTCTTTTTTGACTGGACTGGCCCTCAAAGAGCTCAGAACAACGATCCCTACCAAGTACATCTTACATGCAACAACATTATCATTTCATTTGCACACCTTGTCCACTGTCCCTTCAGTAGGTACTAATCTTAAAAGTTACTATCACGCTGTACTATATGGCCAAAAGTATGCGGACACCTTAACATCACACTCATATGTGGGTCTTCCCCAAGCTGTTGCCATAAAGTTGGAAGCACAGAATTATCTAGAATGTCCTTGTATGCTTTATAATTAAGATTTCCCTTCACTGGAACTAAGGGACCCGAACCTGTTCCAGCATGACAATTCCCCTGTGGACAAAGCTCCATCAAGACATGGTTTGCTAAGGTTGGAGTGGAAGTACTCGAGTGTTCAGCACAGAGGCTGACCTCAATCCCACTGAACATCTTTGGGATGAACTGGAACACCAACTGCACCCCAGGCCTCTTCATCCAATAATGGTCTTGTGGTTAAATGGGCAAATCCCCACAGTCGCACTCCAACATCTATTGGAAAGTCTTCCCAGCAGAGTGGAATTTATTATAACAGCAAAGGGGGACTAAATCTGGACTGGGATGTTCAACAAGCACGTACAGGTGTTCATTTACTTTTGGCAATATAGTCTGTCTATCTATCAGGTGAACCGTACAGAACAGCCCTATACCTGCACACTGCTCCCACTGTGGTCTAGGAGTTGAGGCTTTCCTGTGAAGGCTGTCTCTCTGTGTACTGGTCTGCTGATGTAACTTTAGCAATGTGTCATATTCCATCTTCATTTGGTTGAAGTCACACTGTACGGTCTCCACCTGTAAAACAAAAACTGGGTCTTAAACAAGTCTAGATGATATGACGGTACAATAAATTTAACAGTTCATAAACATCATTATTTTCATTTCTAGGTATTTATAATTATTTTGCATCCTTGATAAATTTTACACAGTAAAAAAAATATCGAGAAAAAATTACCTGAAAGTTGAACATTTTTTGTTTTCTTAGCCAGACCAAGTATTGTGATACACAGTGTACCAGATAATATAATTAAATGCAACAATATAATTTTTTGCAATATTGACCAATCAGATTTTGAATAATCCAGGTGGAAAGAAAATTTGTTGGTAGGGGGGAGATATAAATGTGTAACAGGCAGGCTTTTGTCCGTTCATTTAGACTTAATATATCCAGAATACAAACAATGACAAAATGGTTATGCACGTTCATTCTGATAGAATACATGACTCATATGAGACGTTGCCTTATACCTTTAGGAGGTTCTCCTGGTACACACGCTCAAGATTCTCCCAGTCCCTACGGGGAACCACATCTCCATATTCTGCGTGCAAGTGGTTGAGTTCCATCTGGGTCTTGCTTAAATCCTCTCTACACACGTCCAGAGCCAGCTTTAGATTCACAGGATCCTCTAAAAGAGAAAAGAAGAGTTAAAATACCCCAATGTGAATCATGCAATATTCCACATGCTATCAAAGTGCCAATATTTGGCCAAAAATAACGAATTCAGATGATGCAATGATTGCTACCATCCAGTGCGTAACCAGGTTCCTGTGGGCTGTAACTCATGCTGCTGATATTGTCAATGAGCAGCCTGCGGGCATCACGTTCCTCCCTGTACAGCACATACTGTCTTGCAAGGTCCTTCTCTAGATATGACACCTGTGACAGACCCAAGACAGAAAAGACTACGTTCTAGTGTCAGAGCTGTGCAGCGTCTACATTTCACATTTTGTGATTTAGTTCTAATTTTGTCTAA